TACTTTCCCTTGGAGTTCTTTTCTTGTAATTTGTAATGGTGGCTTACGAATCACAAATACAGTTTCGACTTACAGGCTCCGACGAAGGCGATATTGCCGAAACGTAAGCCGTGTCGATAAACTGTTATTAAAAATCTCGAAGGCTGATAATACAACCTACGACGATGTTCTATTAATATTAACACAATCCAAAACATTATGCAGATTTTTGATATGTAGATTACGTAAGTGCCTTTATTGCATATTTCTCTACTTTCATCTCCAGAAAATTGAAATTTACACAGTAGGCAAAGTAATATCAATTTTGTACTAAAAGGAATTTGTGTAAGGAAGGAATTGGAGCAACATGAATATATAATTTTACGTATACTTTTCCTACTTAACTGATATAACTCCCTTTTGATTAACTTGAAATCCTTTGCGTTATTGAGACTTTTAAAAGAGGTTTTTTTAGTTGATTATCACATTTTTAGTTTTACGACTATCTTTTCTGGAGCCGTTCCTAATTCTTCTTTTGATAACTGTAAGGCAAAAATATGGATGATTGCTTTTATAAGTAAGGGGGTTAACTATATTAGAAATGTTACCATACGTTTTAATGTTGTCGTTGTTACCAAAAGGGAAGGCCTTTGCTAAAAGTCTAATCCAGAATGCTTCTTCATCTTGTAGAACGTGTTTATCTTGGTTTTCTTCCAAATTATCCGAAATACTAAACGTGACTTGTTTACTGTTGCATACTTTATTGAAATGTTTATATAAGTAATTACTAGTGCCTCCCTTGTTAATGCTATTATGAAACTTTTATTATCTATCAAAGAACATTTACCACAACTATTGCTACATAGTTTAGGCTCATTATTATTACCGAAGTCTTCTGAAACATATCTTCCGTTCACCTTGGATTTATAAAAGACTTTATTACAACAAAAGTGCTTTTGTTGATCTGTTGTGTTGGTAGGCCATACGGGACGTATGTGGGGGGCCCAACCCATATACCTGGGGGGAGTTTAAAAGGGTTTTCCCTAGGCACTCGCGAGCCTGTGATGAACTGTGTTATCAAAGAATAGATAAATGCCATGGGTTGATCTATTCGAGGGCGTGGTACCTACCCCCTGGTAGTAACCACTTTTGTAACCCTATCAAAAGAGTCCCTATTGTTAAAGGGGTATGGCCCCGTGTGTAAAGCAATGGTGAAAGATGTGTGAAAGATAAAAAAAAAGATAAAAAAAAGGAGAAGGAAAAAGAAGAAAAGAAAAAAGAATTCCATAATAACAGGTGGACGGAAGAGATGAAAACAGTTATATGCCATGGTATCCGTTTAAGTTAAGCCTTGGGGATACATGTGAGACACCTTTTAAAGAGAATGTAAATGAACGCGTTTAACTCGAATAGATGCGCAATGCGGACTAGAGAATAAACAAAAATAGAAATACGA